AACTGTATTAATGCTTACAACCGATCCATAAGCTTCACAATGGAGTCTACCTTCAGCACCGGTCAACTTCCTTTCTTAGATACCCTCATAACAGTATACCCCACCGGTGAGTACACCACGGAATTATACTTTAAACCGATGGCAGCCCCGATCATTCTCCACTTTACGTCCGCCCACCCCATGAGTACCAAGAAGGCCGTTCTCAATTCCCAGATCAAGCGAGCGATGAGGGTGTCATCTGACGACCGAACGAGGGATCGCAGCGTAAAGCGGGTAAAACTTCTGTTTGAGCAGAACGGGTACCCAACAGCCATGTTAGACACGAGCATAAAGAATAACCTTCGCAAGCGTAGTGAACGTAAAACTCGGCGCAACAAAGAAAACGAGATATTCATGCGGCTTCCCTATTTAGACGAAAACGTCGTTAGAAGAGTCAATGGTGTTTTGAGAAGATCTAAAACTAATATCAAAGTAGCCTGGATTAGTGGTCCCACAATAGGAAACAAACTTATCTCTTCCGCCTTCTCTAAACCGCCCTGCCCAGCCGGGACTAAGCACTGTCACACCTGTGAGAGTGGGCTGAAGGGTAAGTGTACTAAGAAAAACATAGTCTATAAAATTACCTGTAGCCTCTGTGAAAGAAACGGACGAACTGAATTTTATATCGGAGAAAGCACCCGCCCTGTACGTTATCGATTCAACGAGCACCTAAGTGACCCTCGCCTGAGAAAACCAGACACCCCACTAGGTGAACATATTGCCGATTCGCACTTTAACGCAAGTAGCACTGAAATCAACTCCGCCTTTACTATTGATATAATCGGTTGGGGACGGGATTCTGCTGAACTAAAAATCACTGAATCCATCAAAATTAGAGACCTAAGGCCCACATTAAACATGATGAAAAGCTCATGGCCCCTCGCTCGTAAACCATAGGTCATAACACACACACACACACACACACACACACACACACACACTTCTCTCTCATTCACTCACCCCTCACTCACACACTCACTCACTCTCTCACTCACTCACTCTCTCACAAACTTATACACTCACTCACTTATCTCTACCCTTTGTTTCACATGTTTACCCTACCACGCACACGCACACGTACACATGCACCTAACTGACTTGCCCGACTCACGACTGGTTGACTGGAATCGAGCTAAGAACAGCGGCAATGTTTTTCAATATGATTATAATGTCAATGTTTACTGCAACCGGGTGTTGATGATGTATGCGGCTGATGTTGAGATGAGATTTATTGACCTTGTTGTACCTATGATATATTGTGTGCATGTCATGTTGTAGCGTACGTAATGATACATTGTTGTACATTATTTACTTGCCATGTGCAATGTACCACACTATTTGCAACGTATTGCAATACGTTTAAAAAAGTGAGCTGCTATGAGGATGCCTGGAACAATATGATTGTGCTCTAGCTTTTGAAAATCAAAAACATGTTAATTTATTCAAACTTGATGATGGCGTAATGCCGAAAGCTTGTTTTACTGTTTTAGATATTTATTTTGCCTAAAATAAAAACACCTTGACATGCGTGAGATCATTTCAAGCCTCGTTATATTAATAATAATCATGTCATCCATCCTCGCCCACATAAAAGCTACAGCTGTTGAGCAATCGATATGAAACTTTCAGGATGTAGTAAGGGTGACACTGACCCGGTTTCCATGGTCACTTTGAGACATAGCGGATTACGGGAGGATAAGGGTTGTAATTCCGACCCGTACTCACGGAACCCATGTTTTTAAGTGGATTAGGGTTCGAATGCCTCCGTTTTATCGGCTGAGAATAAAAAAGTATAGGAAATTACGGAAAGCAGGCTGTAATCGCACTAGTCCTTTATCTCACTGATCCGAATAGTTTGCTGGATATTTCGCACTTGGCCTGACTTCGCACTTGGACTGGGAGCATAAACGCCCGTCCATTCGCAAACGGCCTAGGCCAACTGCAATAACCCACATGGACTAGTCCATTCGCAAACGGCCTAGTCCAAGTGCGTTATCGCACTTGGCCTAGTCCAAGTGCGTTATCGCACTTGGACTAGGCCATTCGCGAATGGACTAGCCTTCGCACTTGGCCCGCAACACATATATATATATATATATATATATATATATATATATATATATATATATATATATATATATATATATATATATATATATATATATATATATATATATATATATATATATATATATATATATATATATATATATATATATATATATATATATATCATTAATTTTTTGGCAAAAGTCAGTACTTTGGATGAAAGCTTGGAACTGGGGTGACTGATGGCGACCTGTCGAGCACACTTCACTCGATGAATCCCCCTCCGCGTCGATGACGGCCTCGATGCGCGGTCTGAACCGGGCTTAGGCCTTGGTCAGCATGGTCTTGTCCATCTTGACCATCATCTGCTTGATGGCTGACTTCAGAGAGTCAATATTGTTGTGTGGGTGTTTGTTAGTGTCCCTCTCGACTACGCCCCAGACATTTTAGTCGAGCGGGTTCAGGTCCGGGGAGTTTGGCGGCCAGAACTCGGGCGTGATGTGACTGTGCACGTTGCCGCTCATCCACTCCTGCGTCACCCTGGCCTTGTGGGCGATTACAGAGTCTTGTTGGAACACATAGGGCCTTCCTCAGCCACTCGGTCGATCCAGGGTTTCACGACGTCACCGTCATCGACGGTGACGTCGACGTCCTTTCATCGTCGACGATGTGCTCGACTTTGGCAATGAAATCGTCGTCTCCGACGGCATCAGATCATCGGGGATGTTTCTTCCGCTTTGCCACAGACGGGACGTCGCCCACAGACTCATCCAAGCTCCGCTCGACTTTATAATCATAGCTTCTGTCGACCTTGAGGAAGTTGGCGACCTCGGGAGCCTCGCTGCCGGCGTGAAGCGCCACAATGACCGCGTGCCTTTTCACATTTCTTCCGTTATCATCTTCAGCTGCAACGTTCCCTTTTGCTATGGACAACAATTTACACAAAGCATGAAACATGAATGCAAAAAATTATTGCTCTGCACAAAACGGTTTCCTTGTAACACAGGTTTGACATTTGTGGTGTCAAACCACAAATGTCAAACCGGCGTAAAAAAATTTACCGGCGCCACCCTGTGTGTATGTATATATATATATATATATATATATATATATATATATATATATATATATATATATATATATATATATATATATATATATATATATATATATATATATATATATATATATATATATATATATATATATATATATATATATATATATATATATACAGGGTGTCCTTAAATTGATATCCTCTCCCGTTCGTTACGTTTCCCGCGAGCAATACCGGTATACCAATGGCGCTTTACCGGGACCCGACCCTGGGGCACGGTCACGTGTTTGTTGGTCACGTGACCTAGCCAGGCGAGCCGACCCAGGACCCGGCGGGGCGGCAGAGGTCATTTACCGAGAGGGTCGCGAGGCGCGCGGACTGCATATCAGCCATGGCGAAGGAGTACCCTTTGTCGACTCGCTATCGCGCTGTCGGCATGGTCAACGGCGGCACGCCCCAGGTACAGGTAGCCAAGGAGCTAAGGATAGAGCCCAGGACCCTCAGACGCTGGATGACCCTCGACCGCAAGGGAGAGGCACTGGAGAACCGCGGGGGAAGAGGGAAGAAGACAGCGATGCGCCGGGTGGCCAAAATCGTGGTGGCGAAATCCGTTACGAAACGGCACCAGTCGACACGGAAACTGGCGCGGAAACTCAGTGCAAAAAAATCATCCGGCCTCCAAGTCCGCTGTCCACCGGTATCTGCGGCAGTGCCTCCGTCTGAAGCCGCTGAAACCGCGCGTGGAGCCCAAGCTGACGGCAGCACAGCGACGAAAACGGCTGGACTTCGCTAAAAGTCGGATCAACTGGTCCATACAGGACTGGAGGCGGGTCCTGTTCAGCGACGAGTCTCCTTTTGAGCTGTTTCATCCTCCCAACCGCCAGAACGACCGTGTTTGGGCTCAGAACAGCTCAGAAGTGCCTGTCATCGAGACCGTCAAGCAGCCGGGCAAGGTCCTGGTGTGGGGCATGATGAGTTTCCGTGACCTGTCAGACCTTCGCATCGTGCCCCGCGGCCAAACCGTGACAGCGGACTACTACGTGGAGGAGGTGATGAAGGGAACGGCCGCATCAGCGATGAGACGACAGAAGGATAATGGACCACCAACGGCCATCAAACTTCTGCCGGACATGTCGCAGACCATTTTCCAACAGGACGGTGCCCCGGCTTACAACGCCACCAAGACCCAGGAGTGGTGCCGGGCCAACTTCCCTGGCTTCTGGGCCAAATGGGAATGGCCAGGTAACAGCCCGGACATGTCGCCAATCGAGAACCTGTGGGCAATCGTCCAGGACAGGATGGACAAGATGGCACCAGCGTCGTCCGAAACTGCCCTCATCAGGAACCTCCGATCGGCCTGGAGCAGCATCTCTGGAGAAACTCTCGACAACCTGATGTGTGGCATGCCGGAGCGCATGCGGGCATGTGTGCGGAAGCGTGGTGGATACATCAACAAATAAATCATGAACCGGTCATTTTTTGTTTTGATGTTATTGCACGCCATGGGAGAAGACATCAATTTCGGGACACCCTGTATATATCACAGTTAAGCAGGTAGGTAGTTACTTTCATTTAAATGGGCTTACTAGAGCATCAACCCACCAGTCCGCGTGCTACGTCGAATTTCCCAACCGGGCCCGAATGGCAGTCGGCAAAATCAGTGCACAGTCCAGGTATATAGTGGTCTATGTATGTTCAAATTGCCCCACCTGTTCAAAGCACCCCATCCTATCCTATGAATATAATGGGAGTTTTATGGGTGAACCAACCATTCCACTTCCATCAACGCTAGTTCAGAACAACAGTGACATAAATAGCATAAATACTTGCAAAAAGTAGCACACGCAAAACTTACACAGTGGTCGACGGCGTGAAGATAGTCGAGCAGCTCCTCCACGCAGGTCTCCTCGGTCTTACTGCGGCTGCTGACACGCTCCTCGCATTGTTCGAACTTGGCGCGCAGCTGGGGCGCCGGGCCACTGGCGCGGCACTCTTCCCGCATCGTCTCGTGGGGGTCAACCAGTTCCTCTTCCTCCTCTTCCTGAGACAAAAGAAAAATACAAGAGAAGCATAAGGCAAGGTCTGCTGACGTTCCTAGTCACACACAACCTGTAAGCATGTCATGTTTTCCCATAGGAAATACCCTAGAGCAAAGATGACTGCAATCTGGGGAGTAACTTCCTATATGTATGGGTTTTTCGCGAATATCTAAGCTTCTACATAGACTTCCGATCAACACAAGACAAACATCAATCGATAACAAATTTTCTCCCTAATCATTTTATGGCCAACGTTAGGTACGCGTAGCGAACCAAGATTTCTTGTCATACACCATTTTTGTTATTACGGGCGATAAGAGTACGAGGGGGTATCGAAAAGTTCTGATCATCACATAGAATATAGGTATAGACCGATATTGATGATTTTTTGTTGGCATTATATTTGGTACTCAAGAACAATGTTCCCCTAAGGAAATCCTGAGAAGTGGTTTTATCTTCTGTAGGAGAGACTTAGAAGTAAAAAAGATGAGTATCTGGCCCATTGAGGACCGAACCGTCATCCAACTAATGCATTTGAAACGGTATCACACTGAGAAAATACATCAAGCACGTGAAATTAGTTTATGGCGAGGAAAGACCATCTCATGCACTTACCGAAAATGAAGAAACAATTTTCAACTTGGTTGCATGGCCTTTGCAGGGGAGTCAAGAAGTGAGTGACTACCAGTGACTGACAAGGTGGTGACTGTGAAGGAAGTGGAGGACCTCATCCTTACAGATCGTCGTGTGACCTTTCAGATGATTGTGCAACAGAAAGGTCTCAATGCTGGCAGTGCCTGAAAATATTATCAGCGAAGAACTGCAGACGATAAAGGAGTCAGCCCGCTTAGAAGTTCGTGTGTCTACTTTGTTGAAGAGAAAAAAAAATGCATCTTGGCCTTTCGAAACGAAAACTAGGCCTTTTTTAGGAAATTGAAGACATCTTCGATCATTTGATGACTTGTGACGAATGCTGGGTCCATGTGTATGATCCAGAGACTAAAAGATGATCAAGAAGTTTAAGCACGGCACATCTGTCCTTCTTAAAAGGCGAAGATGCAGAAGCCGATATGGAAGGTCAATGCTATCAGTGTTCTGGATCTGGCGTAAGATAGTCAGTACCGACTGTCTTGATGATGGTCGGATAATGATAAACAAGCACTACTGCAGGGGCGGATCCAAGGGGGGGCCAACGGGGCCATGGCCCCCCCAAGACGGTCAAAGGGGGGCCATACTATCTTTTGGCCCCCCCCCCCCCCCAGACATAATTCAAGAAAACTAAAAAATAAACATTCTGAAAGTTCCTATGCTGAAAAACTGAAATATTGCTTTGATGATTGAGTGACATTGGGGCAAAGGTGAAAAACTCTGCCAACCAGAGTCAAAATGGCCTGTGCCGGCGAGGGTTAGGATGTAGGAGAAATCGACATGATATCACATTGTTATTCGCATTCATAGGCACGTATTCTGTATTGTGTACTGGTTGGTTTTAATTGCAAATTTGTTGGAAAATAAGATTGTCATTGGGCACTTTAAAAAAAGGTAATTTTAACTTTTACCATGACCAAATGTGTGATTCTTGTCAGAAAACTGAGGAATGATCATAACAACACTGAGTATAATCAACTTAAGCTTGAGAAATTTCAGAAGCAATTTAATAGCTGAAGCTTCTTCATAGTTCATTAACACTATTAACCAGCAGCTTTCTTGTCTCATACCTGAAAGTATATGGATTTAAACCTCTCCCGTATTGGCGTTTTGTCAGCAGCGAACGTATGGGGGGGGGGGCGTTGTCCCCATTGCCGTTTGGCCGCTGGTCGAGCTAGAGCTTCACGAAAAAAACGAGCGTGCTGCCTGTGACGAGAGGAAGACGATGATACCCAATTTAAGGTCTTAGGTCATTGGTTCATGGTTGACCTTCCAGGTCAGGTCAATGACCCAAAAGTCGGGAAAATTGGGACCTGTTAGAGCGTCGTAAGTGTGGCTGAGCTTTTTCGGGGTGCTGATCACCAATATCGTGTTAGTGTTGATCCTAGAAGATGTCTTCATGCATTTAGGCCAGGTCGGGTCAGGTCAACCAGTAGTGGTCCTGCCGGGTATTCGTCGTACGTGTCACTGTCAACCGCCTCTGACAGCTTCGTAACATGTTACGAAGGCACCAAAAGTACTTCGTAAATGTTCAAATGGTTGCTGAATTCGAGTTCAGCTCCAAAAACTAGCCTAGAAACATGTAAAACTCGAAAAAGTGAACTGAGGTCATCAAAGTTCAATGACCTGACCTGACCTTCAGGTGACCTTCACACCCATCCAAATGCATGGGACCAACATCATATCACATGTTTGAACGCTTGAAACCACGAAAAGACTGCAAAGCGCGGCTAATACGAGCCAACATACGCCGAATCGCGATCCCGGCCAAGCATGGTCTCGAGCAATAGGTCACAGGTCAAAGGTCACTTGGGTCAGGGTAATTAAAGTTTTAGGGTAGATGCAAAATTGATTAACTCGAGGGTACTGAAAGCTTCGTCGCGATTAGCCGTTTTTACGCGAGTTATTCGCGAAAAACCGAGGGGGTGGGGTCTGTTCGACCCCTCCCCCTATACGGGCGAGGGTTAACAGAGGAAGACACAATTTCCCCTTACCTGTACTTGTTTTTGAAGTGTTTCAAGCGTCATTTTGAGAAGGTGCTTTATTCAGTTAGGGGGCGCATGTGCACCCCTAAAACCCCTAATGCTCCACCATATGTCACTAACTAAACCCACTATTTGAAGTTATACTTAATGACACATGGGTAGTTTTCACTTGGTTTTCACTCAACATAGTAGGATAATTAAGCATTAAATGCAAAATTAGAGCTTGAGATTGTCCGGCATTTAGCCCAACAGGATACCTCTTCAATTGTCCTAGCTGAATCCAGCATAAGCTCAGCTTGTCTGAACTCGGACACACCATCAACATTGCCGAGTCTGAATTTGAGCTCGACGCCGGGCCATGGGCCTGAACTTTGTGGTCATGGGCGCGGGAGCTGGGGGTCAGTGAGGGCAGCCTGCAGTGCCCCCACAACTCTGGGGCCGTGGGGGCGCTGCCCCACAACTTTTCATAGGGCTAGGAACCGTCGGGGTAGCTTGCCCTCCCTTAATTAGCGGTTGTGGGTCACAAAGGAAAACTAAAGGGAAGAAAACATTTAAGAAAAAAATCCCCCTCTTTACCTGGCGGCTTGACAGCTCATGTGGAAGATTTAAGCCTTTATTCTACGTTACCAAAAAGGTAGTTCCTTGACTCAGCTGAGACAAAATATCTGACTTTTTGCAAATGTTTTCGTTTCGTTTTTTTTCGATGAAAAGGCGAAGGGTGAAAAATAAGTGGCCTAAAACCGGTGAGAAAACTAGATTTGGGGGTACCCTAGGTTTGGCTAGTCCCAACCGGTTGCCCCCCCCCCCCCCCCCCAAGACGGCCGGCTGGATCCGCCCTTGCACTACTGCACACTTTTGAAGAAGTTGCGAGATGGCCTCAAGAAGAATCGCCGCAAAAAAAAAAACAAGAAAGATGTTTTATCCTCACCGACAGCGCCCCCGCCCATTCGTCCTGAGCTGCGGTTGAAGAAACAACATGATGTGGACATTAAATCCTACCGCATCTAACAAATTCACCTGGCCGGGTATTAACTGACTCTTCATTGTTACGGGAGATGAGGAATCCACAGTATGGCCGGTGATTTAACCCTCGCCCGTATTGGTGTTTTTCCAGCCGCGAACGTATAAGGGGGGGGGGTCCGTTGGACCCCCCCCCCCATGCCGTTTCGCCCCTGATCGAGTTAGAGCTTCGCGGAAAAAACGAGCGTGTTGCCCGTGACGAGAGGAAGCCGATGATACCCAATTTTAAGGTCCTAGGTCATCGGTTGACCTTCCAGGTCAGGTCAATGACCCAAAAGTCGGGAAAATCGGGACCTGTTAGAAAGTCGTAAAGCGTGGCTGCTATGGGGTTTTTCGGGGTGCTGATCACGAATATCATGTTAGTTTTGATCACAGATGATGTCTTCATGCATTTAGGCCAGGTCGGGTCAGGTCAGGTCAGGTCAACCAGTAAGGGTATTCGTAGTAGGTGGCAACCGCCTCTGACAGCTTCGTAACATGTTACGAAGGTGCCAAAACTACTTCGTAAATGTTCATATGGTTGCTAAATTCGAATACAGCTCCAAAAACTGGCCTAGAAACGTGTAAAACTCGAAAAAGTGAACCGAGGTCATCAAAGGTCAGTGACCTGACCTGACCTTCCGGTGACCTTGACACCCACCCTAATGCATGGGAGCAGGATCATATCCCATGTTTGAACGCTAAAGACCACGAAAAGACTGCATACGCGCGGCTAATGCGAGCCGACGTACGCCGAATCGCGATTCCGGCCAAACATGGTCTCGAAAAGTAGGTCACAGGTCAAAGGTCATTAGGGTCAGGGTCATGAAAATTTCAGGGTAGGTGTAAAATTGATTAACGCGAGGGTACCAAAAGTTTCGTCGCGATCGGCCGCTTTTTACGCGAGTTATTCGCGAAAAACCGAGGGGGGTCCGTTCGACCCTCCCCCCCCCCATACGGGCGAGGGTTAAGGACAGAAATGACGTCATTGATGAGGTGGAGCAGTGATTTACGGGACAGTGCGAAGGTCCTACAATGACCGCCTGAGGCAGATCAAGAAACGATGCAATAAGTTTGCGGTCGTGTGTGGTGACTTGCGAAGAGTAATGATTATCATGTAAAAAAATCAAATTTCTATCACATCTAATTCATGGTAATGATCAGAACTTTTCGATACCCCCTCGTACGCATCAGCTGTTTCGGTTGCCTAGCAACGCGGGTTTGTCGAGTTCATGAAGTGACATGAAGCCGTCAGTGCGTGTTTGTCACCAAAGGAACGTGGACGTTGTGCGGCGACGCTGTTGAGTTTAAGGCGATGAATATTATTTTGGAGCGTTATGATATTATTATGGTATCGTACAAGATATCTT